CAGGTTCAAGCTGGACATGGATTCATTAGTATTAGTTTGAATACCCATACACCTAGTTATAAAAAATATCTTCTAAAATAAATATCTACTTTAATAAAAAATATATATATTAGTAAATCTAAACTATTTCCCAGTCTTTTCATGCCCAACGATTGACAGCCTTGCACCATCAGAGCGTTTTTAAATCTTTCTGACTCATGAAACTTTTTCACAGCAGACATTTTGACTTGTTATATAAAGTGTAGTTTATAACATCTGTTAAACGTGTGTTGACTGGTCAAAATATCCATGTGTGTGCCGTGTCCATTCAACTTTAGTTTCAGTCCACATTTTAGTGGATGGTAGTCAGATGTTGTGTTATTACCATACACGCCATGTATTCAGAATATGAATCTCTTCTTTTCTGTCTCGTGTAAGCAGGCATTTAACAATAAATTTATCTTTGAATGAAACTGCTGTTCATGACTATTTCCACCAGAGGCCGCACTTCACAAACACCAGATAATATAATTAAATGAATGTCAGTATGCAATAATGCAAATGCTATACTATAATACTGCTATACATGTTTTTCATACATCAATGTTTTGATACTTCAGCTCCTTGTTTCTGCCTTTTCCCAACAGCTTTTTTATTTTGCTACAGTTTCATCTTCAAACCTCTCTGCAGTGATTTTGCCTCTTTGTTGGCTCAGTTTTTGTAAGAGTGTGTTAAAACAGGATTGGTAAAAGCTTATTATGATGTTTCCCTCATCACCGATACAGAAACTACTGCAGCAGATGCAAATTTTTAAGCTTAATGGCCAAAAACAGCGATTAATAAGTCTTCTCCGAGCCTCGTGAAACAGCCTTTCTGAGTTTGTTCATATGTTATAGAGCGGACTGGTCTGACCTGAAAATATGTTAGTTAACAAATTGACAAAACTACTTGACCAAACTATTCAACATCAACAAACAACTTAAATAAGATGACACTGCAGTTAGTCTGCAGATGGAGGTTTTCTCCAACATGGCTGAGAAGTAAAAGTGAGAGAAGAATACAGAAGCAGCTGCATGTGCAAAATGTTCATAATGTCATTGTGTTTGTGGCATTGCTTTTCTGTCTTCTTCACCTTCTTCCTTTTCCTTTTGCTGTTGAGACTTATTTGTTGTTTGTCCAGAGCATATAACAAAAGGATATGTTCACACATTAAAAATGAAGATTAAGCCCAAATGGAAGACGACTTGTTTCTTGTTTGGACTTTACAGAGGAGGATTAAGTCACCTCTTTCCAAGAATAGATATTAAACTGGTTGGGTGAGTTGTAAATAATAGTTAAAATAGACAGCACATCTATATTGGGAACATCCTGTGCAACACAGAGAATGTTCAGAGGCCGCTGAATGGACTTGCCCCGTGTATGATATTCAACAGTGGGTGGCGGCTGTAGGTTTGTTCTGTTTTTGTCACACCAGCTTAACACATGCATACCACATAATAATTAGAAGTACAGGCAGGTAACAGTGACTTCAACAAACTGGTTTTATGGGAGTGCTTTTTAATAGACACACATGACTCTAATCTGATACGTTTTGCCCAAAAACGGTGTACTAGATGATAAACTGAATTAGAAAAAATTATCAATTATAGTTAATGTAACAAGTCCCAGAAGGGCGCGGGCACATGCCTCCCAGCATGCACTAGGGGAGCAGATTTGTGGACACCAGTCTCTTTATGTGCATGTTTCTACTGTGCTAATAGTATAATTGTGTTTGACAATTTGCTCCTACATTTCATTTGTGTCCATTTCAGTCACTATGACATGCAACTGACTGCAAGTGTTGTTTGAAAGTGGAAGTTTGGTGACAGCTTCAGATGTGAGTATGTTGAAGATGTATTGCTGCACTGATGCTTTGTCCTGAACGCACACTGTCATTGTCTCTAAGTTGTCTTATTTTTAACTCACAGTTTCATTTCTTCAAATTCTGTGTATGTGTGTGTGTGTATGTGTGTGTGTGTGTGTGTGTGTGTGTGTGTGTGTGTGTGTGTGTGTGTGTGTGTGTGTGTGTGTGTGTGGGCATTCATTGTACCTTCCTTCAATAAATGTTAAGTACCTATTGCAATGTGTTGGGCCAAAATATTTAATTTAATTCAATTTAGATTATTTGATAGGACAGACTCAGTACACATACAGAATTGAATAACTGAATTGAATTTTCTGATGCAATGCATCAGATGTTATTTAAAGAAAGGTGTTTGGAGCATAACTCACTGCCACTTTACCCATTTTGGGTACTAGTTTCACTATTTCAAGATACAGAAAAAAAGATGAAGAGAAAGTGAAACTGCAAGCCGACCTGTGTGTTGTGTGTTCCTGTGTATTAGCTGGTCAGTGAATGTTACACCACAATGCACAATACAGATGATGAACATGCACAGCATACAGTAAGTGGACAGAGCAATTAACAATAAGCTTCTAAACAAAAGGGCTAAAGGTCCTGAATTCAAAAATGTATTTTAGAGTAAAGAAGCATTCACAGTTAATCTAATCCAAATCGGGTTATTTCTGAGTAGGTTTTCACACACTGGGAATTTGCTTTGGTATTTTGGTGCATAAAAATAAAGATAGTAAGAGAAAAAAGAGAAAACAAGTACTGCAAAAGGCAAGAAACTCTAAAAATAGTTAGTAACTATAAATAAATGTCTTTTAAAATGAAAAGTGCTGAGAGTAATTCATGTAATGCAATGCGTTGAGGCAGATGTGGAGACTTTACGTTACAACGTTCAGCATTCTAATAACAAAAACATAACCAGCCATTATAAAGAAAGGTTTACATGGTTATGAATTACTTATATGTTAAATAGCATGCAGATAATATTTTAAGGCAGGTGGACCAATAAACGTTAAATTGTAATCTTCAAAGTAAGAACAGCTCTCAGGTAAATGTTGTGGATTGAAAAACATTTACTTTTGAAAACTTCGCCAAAATGGAAATACTTACAGAGGGTGGATGCAACTCTAGACTGCGCTCTACCTGAGTAAATGTACTAGAAATACCTCTGGACGAAATGCAGAAAAGTCTTTCAAAAAAGTGACAAACTTTTCTAAACAAATCACACTTATAGCATGAATCTAGCACAGATACACGAGTGACTTTGACTTGTCTTTAGTATCACAATTCATGCGAGGCTCGCCATGAAGACTACGGCACAGCTTTCATCTGGCACTAAAACCTGCAGTTGCACCATCTTCAAAAAATATCAGTGTGTGTGTGTTTGCTGATGTTGTAAAATTGCTTGACTGGCAATGTAGGGAAATATTACTACACCAATAAACATTTGAAAAAACAAATAAGGCAGAGGGGCACAAAGAGGTGAGAGAAATACAGAGTGCTCTATTAAAGTAATGCACCTTTTTATTTATTATAAATGCCCAGAATATGAAAACATTTTCCCCAGATTTTCCCCCTGAAATGGGAGTCTTGTGTGGTACCTAACTCCTCATCAAGATAAGATCTTATTCCAACTCTCCTTGGTGAAACTGCTCATGTGGCTGAACTGGAAAGAGAATATATTACATTAGTCATAAAGCATGTTTCCCTAGGACAATTTTTGGCTTCTCTGTTTTCATATGCTGTAGAACAAGTCAAGTCGATTACAGAATCACACAGTATTCACAGGGCTGTTTACAAAGTAAAACAATAATGAGCAACAACAGGTAAAATACAACAATATGTACATGGGACTCCTGTACAATCATACCTGGATCCAGATAAAAACACACACATACAAAAACATGTAACATACAGCGCATATACATAACCATGCGTACATAGCAGATAACTGAATATAAGTTGGTTAACTGTAAAATAAATGAGGTTGAAGGCCGATGTGAAAAGATGTGCTTTGAGTTTACTCTTGATTGAGTAAACCAATTTTTGCATATGAGGATGACTCCAGAGAAGAGGGAATTGGTAAGAGAAAGCCATGCTGCCACCTAAACTGATGTGTGATTTTTATTTTTATTTATTATTGATAGTCAGGAGACCAGCCTTGTCATAGAGCCCCAACAGGTGTACGAGGAGAGGTGATAAGCTGGATGGTGCAAGTCTGTGTAATATCTTTTTATATTAAAAGTCAGACTATTGAAATCAGACCATGCAGGGAGCCACTGTAATGAAACAAGGGGTAATATGATAATTTTCTAGACCTGGTTAATGAGCAGTATTTGGACAAGTTGTAATTTGCTAGGCAAGCCAGGGAAAAGGGTGTTAAGTGTAAAGAGTTAGCAGTAAGTTGTTGTTTTCATCACATACATTGTATATCACTACTATATTATTTATTAATTGGATGGATTATTTAAATTATTCATATATTGTGTACTCGTGCAGTTGTATTAGGTCCATGTAGCTAAACTAAGGCAATATTATACAACAGCTACTCCTGAAACAATTTTTTGATCAATTTGGAAGTTGTAGTTTGGGGTGAATCCATTATTCTGCGATGTTTTTATAATTGGGATGGACACAATAGGAGAAGCACTCAAAGTAGTACATCCTATATTTGTAAAAGAAAACTAGCTATAACTAACCCTGAAATATGTGAAAAATGCAAATGTGCCCCTGCCTCTCTTCTCTCTGTCCATTAGAGAAACCTGCAACTGACCTGCTTCTAACTATTAAAATTGTTCTTCGAATATGTAGTTTGTTCTATTTATTTAGTTGTACATTTCATATACAACCATTTTGGTCCTCTATCTATCTATCTATCTATCTATCTATCTATCTATCTATCTATCTATCTATCTATCTATCTACTATCTATCTATCTATCAGCTGATCTTTACAGGCTTTGACAACATGTCTTTTTTAGTAATGTCAGTAAACGCTAAAAGCATCTACCTGTCGTTTAAGACACCTGCAGCCTGACCTTTAACTCGTCCTCCCTCTCCATCCCTGTGCCTCTCTATTTACCTCATCCTATTTGCATAGCTGGACCAGGGCGCTCTTGCTCGTGCGCACAACCCCCGCACTCACCTGCTCGAGCTTCACACTCCCTCGCGCAGATCCAGACGCAGACTTCTCTCTCCTTACGTCTGCTTTCGGAAAGGAAAACGCGCTTTTTTTAAAAGGGATAATGCGGACTTTTTACCCCCTTTGAAAGGCTGAACGTGGCTGTGAGAGCTCTCTGTCAACAGTAAAAGGTTAGCGGAGGAAGTTGGGCAATAAAGACGCAGAGGGAAATTAACCGTATCGTGTGTGTGTGTGTGTGAGGGAGAGAGACACGATGAGCGAGAGACGTTAACAAACAATGAGGTAAGGATTATATTTATCTTTATAGTCATTAGCTGTTAACGTTTGCTTCCTTCAAATTGATTTTCGTGCGTTAGCTTTTTGTTATAATGTCCAAGTGTTTGATCTGTCATCACTGTTTTAATAACGTCAAATAAGTTACTGAACCAATAGCCTAATATCGATATCATAAGAGCCAGCCTTAACTGTTCAATACCTTAACTATAAACAAATTACTTTCAGTTGTAGTTTTTTGTCCTAACGTAGCCCATGAAGGGATTTATCATGGTGATTACACCTGCTAGATAAAGTTAGATTTTAAAGATAACTTTGTTGATATAGTCATTATTTCTTCCTTTTGGTGGCATCTTGTGCCATAGCCTAATTTGCCTGCCAAACTCAAGAAATCAACATTAGAGATATAGCTAACTATTTGTGAATTGTGTGTTTGGGCAGGTTATTTCTAAAATTATGTTGGTCAGCGTTGACCTAATGAGACACTGTACAGGAGGAGAGTTTTGCATTAAAAATGTATTCAGAGTCACTGAAGAAACTAAATCTGTATCTGATACATGTAATATTCAATATAAACAAATACAGCTGAAACAAGGAGTTGGTTGATTCATCTATAAACAGCTGCTTTTCTTTGTTTGACATTTTAAACTTATTTCTAACATAAAAAAAAACAATCAGGCTTATGAATTATTTGAGAAAATAGTGGACCCATTAATCAATAATAAAAAGATAGTTGCAGCCCTGGGTTAAAGTACGACAGGAGATGTTAACCTGCGTCTGTAATTTGAAATACGTCACACATCTAAAAGTGACTGACAGGACTAACAGGGTCCACTTTGATCTCTACTGGCAAAGCACTGAAGAAGTTGGACAATTTAAGTTTTAAGAACAAATGATAGCAATGCCCCTGGTTTGTCTTTGAGCTAAAGCAAAGCTGAGTGTGCTTTGGAAAACCCCTCTTCTTTTTGGCAAGGGCTGTACAGACAAGCAGAACAGAGTAGTGAAACCAGCAGAGAGGGAAAAAGGACACCGGTGGAGCAACAGTACACACGAGTAAGAACAATAAATGTACTGTCGTTACCTCCTACTCTCACAGAAGTGTGTTGGCTTTGAAAAGACACACAGGAAAAAGGGCACAGCAGAAGGCTGATCTGCTACACTGGGCAGGTCAATCAAGGTGGATGGATGAATCAGACAAATTACTGCTTAATCCCTCTGTGGCTTTGATATTAAATCAGATGTGTACCTGTAGCAGAAGAGACAGATTAGAGAGAGGTTTTTAATCCTGGAATTAATGGTGACATTGGAGCAGACTGCGTATGATGAAGGTGGTCATGATACTTATATCATACGCTGAAAGGGTGCAGTCTCACGGTTGTTGTGTTTTTGTCAGATGACAGGGAAGAAGAGGCAAAAGAGGAAAGCAGCAGAGAGGCAGATCAGGGTAAACCTCTCAGTGTACGTGGTGACTTGAGGGAAAAAATTTTATTAATGTGCACTGGGCGTGTCGCAGGCATGTCAGTCCACCTGAATAGTGTGCTCGTGTGTGTCACTGGGGAAGAGCCCACAACTAGACTAACAAGTTTTTGGCATACTGGGGAACGTGGCATTAAAACTATGCGCAAGTATGAGTTCCTTGCTGTCATTATTGCTGTGCTTATGGCACACAGACAGTAGCAGTGTTCATTATTTGTTCTGTGCTGATTGTGCTGTAACTTTTCTAATTGTTCATCTTTTCTTTTTTGGCAGCGACACTCTTCCTCCGTCCAGAATGGATCAGCACTCGTCAAAGGAGATTATGCTATGGTTTAAGATTCCTTATCAGCGATCTTTGGGATCTTAACGGATCTATGTAATCTCACCATCTTCCATCACCATCTGTTTTGATGATATCTTAGGAGGATAACCGTAGAAGAGTGTTCAAAACAGAGGAACTTGACTCTTTTTGTTTGTTTTAATTAATTTAATCTGACACACAGACGTAGGTGGAAGTTCTCCCTGCTGCACAGACATAAACAACACCTGACAAGAGGAAGAAGTAAACACTATTCTAGTGAGAATTTATCATGTAGACAAGCTGGACAGAGAGACTGACAGCCAGAAAAAGAAAAGTGACAAGTCGACAGATGCCGTCTTCCCTCACACTCACACAGGTCACAATGCCAGACGAGTCACATGGCTTTCAGGAAAAGGGGAGGCCTGGAGGAGAAGCATCACAGGTGTCTATAATGCCGGACATTATAGTTCCCTCGAGTGATGACCTCGAAGTCCTCGAGCTTGAAGACTTCACACAAACAACAGAACAATCTGCAGAAAGCAGTAATGTTAACATTTTGCCATCAGGACTCAGTGAATCCCAGGTTTCCGTAGAGGTGGGTGTGGCAAAAACAGCGCAGGCCGCTGAACCTCTCAAGGCCAATTCTTTGTTGAGGGGAACAGGTGTGACCCCGCAGGCTACGGATGGTCACGATGCCCTGGTCAACTCATCTTCTGATGAGCTGCAAATCGACAGAAGTACCTCTTCGCAAACCAACAAGTGCAGTCTGTTATCTGAGCTTGATGCACGCTCCTTTGAAAAGACGAACCACATCTCTCCGCTCAATTTCTCCGAACCCAGTTTAGACTCTTCTCATTCCAACCACAACACCAGAAATAATTCAGACGACGACACAGATTCCAAAACAGACCTGATTGTCAATCGTAAAGCGGAAAACTCACTCAGTGGCAGCTCGCCCGAACTCCCTGGCGTCTCATCCTACCAAACAAGGGGCAGCACCAATGTCAGGAGGGACGAGGGGGACGGAGACGAGGACAGGCGAAGCACCCATTCCAGACAGAGTGTGAAAGAGGGGATGTGTTGCTGCTATCAGGCGTTCCACAGGGCTTTCCTGCAGTGCGTGGAGGAGACTCCGGCCATGGTGTCTGGGCTGGTGCTGTCTTTGGCCTTCTGCGTGGCTCTCATCGTCCTCATCCCCGCCACAGGAAGGGTGAGACATGGAGTGTGTGCTGTTGTGTTTGTTGCGTATGTAGACATACATAAACTTTTAAACTTTACATTTGCTTCCCATCCTGCCGCGTATTGATCTGACAAATACATATAGGTTTTGATAATCAATTCATAGAGAGAAAATCTCTATGATTTGACTATATCTCCTTAGACTCTGAACTAGTGAATGTTTTTCTATGGAGTAAATGATATGTCGTTAATTGGGGGTGAGAAAAATGGATAGATTAAGGCTACAACTAACTATTGCTTTCATTATTGATTCATCTGCTGAGAATTGCTTCATTTAACCCTCTATGAATTTTCAAAAGCTAGTGAAAAATGCCCATCACAACGTCCTGAAGCCCAAGGTGACGTCTTGAAAGGTCATGTTTTGTCTGACCAAAAGTTCAAAACACACAGTGGGTTTAAAAAATGTTCAATGCTGGAAGCAGTGCTGGAAGAAGTATTCAGATCCTTTACTAAAAGTAATATGACACTGAGAAAATACTCCGCTACAAGTAATACTCCTGCATTCAAAACCTTACATAAGTAAAAGTATCTAAGTATTATCAGCAAAATGTACTTAAAGGTTCAGTGTGGAGGTTTTAGTGGCATCTTGTGGTCAGTCAGTGCTCCCTCCTCCCTTCGCTACAGGAAGCGCGCAGGAGAAGCTACGAGTGCTAAATACTATGTGTGGGCCTCCATTTGTCCAAATTTCACATCTCTTCTTACTTCTAATAAACCAGATGACGAGTAGCCTACTACACACCTACTACAACTAATACTTCGTCTTCTTCTTTCTTCTTCTTCGTCCGTATTCAACGTAGTGACGAAACACGCTCCGGAGAGCCGTTTGTCCGTTTAAGGCTACTGTAGAAACATGGCGGGGCAACATGGCGACTTCCGCGTAAGAGACCCGCGGTGTATGTAGATAGAAATGGCTCATTCTAAGGTAATGAAAACATAACGGTTTATTATCGAAGGACACCACTGAAAACATATATATGAATATTATATTGCATTTCTGTCAATAGATCCTCATATATTACACACTGAACCTTTAAAAACAACACAAGTAAAAGTACTCATAGTGCAGTAAATTTACCCTGTCAGTGTTTTACTATTATGATGTTTTTGATAGATAGAGAGAGAGAGAGAGAGACGTTTTATTATTCCCGGATGAGAAACTGCAGAGTCATAGTTTGCATCAGTTTACATAACTAAAATAAACACACAACCACAGTTACGAAACGAACACAACTTACACAAAATTCACGAGTTATGTGACAAACAAGGATGATGGAGGTTAAGACGAATGAATATCCTGTACTGGTCCTTTATTACTGCCAAGATGAAGGAGCCTCCGACTGAAGATATCCATAATTTTGAACAGTTTATGCAACAACAGGATTAATATTCCTGCTGCATTAATGTGTATGTTGCATTTTAACTACTTTAAATCCTGTTGGGTATTTCAGTCTACAGCAATGCATAATAATCTATAAGATTATCACATGTTTGTAGCATCACTGTCCTGTGAGAACCACAGCTGTGTGATAAGTGTTTTCCCCCTTCCTTTTTTTTCCTACATGGCCCTGTGTGAAAATGTGATTGCCCTCTAAACCTAAAAACTGGTTGGGCCACCCTTGGCAGCAATCAAGCTGCAAACTGCAATCAAGTGTTAACTGAAACGATAACTGGCAATGAGTCTTTTACAGCGCTGTGGAGCAATTTTGGCCCACTCATGCAGAACTGTTGTAATTCAGCCACATAGGATGGTTTTCAAGACTTACTGCCTTTTTTAAGGTCATGCCACAACACCTCAATCGCATTCTGGTCAGGACTTTGACTAGGTCACTCCAAAGTCTTCATTTTGTATTTCTTAAGCCTTTCAGAGGTGGACTCGCTGGTGTGTTTTGGATCATTGTCCTGCTGCAGAACCCAAGTGCGCCTCAGCTTGAGGTCACAACAGATGGCCGGACGAAGAAGAAGTAAAGTCTCCATTACATCAGTGTAGTGTTTATTCAACACGAGCACTTTGATGAAGAAAAGGTTTACAGCCAGCTTCAGTGGGGGCCCGGCCAAAGAAGCAGAGCATCAAACCTGTTCTTCCGAAACACCGCAGCATTCTCGTGCTTCAATCAGTCCGCGTGACTTCTCATTCCCATAAAGCAGTACATATTTAGGTCATCTGTGTTGAAAAATACCCTTCTTTTTGACCTCACAATAATGCTTAGGTATTAACTGAGGTTAATATTTGCCTCTTTTGACTGTGAAAACAGTTTCCAGTGGAGCTCTTGTGTCCACACTATTAGACAAAACCACAACAATGTAATAAAAAAAGACTTTAAAGCTCTATGTAATGACTTTTTCCATCTTAAAATATAAACTTAGCAGTGCCGTAGATCGCTCAAACAGCATGTAAAGAGGCATTTGGCTAAACTTGAGACCCTTCAGAGTTGCATTTGGGGATAAGTGGTGTACAGATTATTAAAGAGGTGCAAACCTGTACTTTTTCAGAGGATTTAAAACGTTTTTTTCTTTATGATAAACAGAAATCAGACAGAACAACCTGCTTTTCTACTTTGGTTTGGCTTGTTTGTTTTCTAACAATCATAAGTGCAAAAGACCCTGGTGCCAACCAATCACACAGAGCTTTTTAGAATGATTAAACTTGTAAAATATTGTTTTGTTAAAGCTTAGCCAGTGTTTTGTGTGCATTTTCACTCTGTTTAAATGTATTTAATAATTCAGCTCTGTCTTCCACATTTTATGGATTTCACGGATCAAAGTTTGTGTGACACACACTAACATGTTGAAGAACAACAGTGTTAATCTCCTGTGAGGAAAAAAAAAAGAGTATCATGTTGTCTCATTACAACAATGAAAATACCTTTACTTCACGTGGCAGGAGCAGACTGATAAAACATTGCACCAGCTGTTTAAAGCTCCGCCTGGATTTCATGTCTGATGAATAAAGGCATTTTAATTTGAGCCCTTAGCGTAGAGCAGACAGGTGCCACAGGAGTCAAAATAGGACAATGCAAGGTAGGTCTATGCAAATGCATATTAACATGAATTGCTCCTTTTTCCTCTTTGTGTCTGCTAATGAGATTTGTTCAAAGCGTTTTAACACTGATTGCCACAAAGCGTCTACGCAGCGGGAGAGAAAACCTTTGAAGCTGTCGCTGCCTTTAAATTCAACTTTAGCGGGTTTAACTTTAAGACACTTGAGATGTTGCTTTGTTGTTTGTCTCATTTGAGGTTTTCGCCCATCTCTATGCAGAACATCATCGTCCACGTAGGTGCTCTGTCGGTGTTGTGCGTGGTTCTCTGTCTGAGTGCCATCCTGCTCGTCTGCCTGCCCTGGCTGGCCACGGTGAGGCGCTGTGGAGGAGCCCTGGCCCTCTTCGTCTGGGGGACGCTGTACGTCACTGCCATAGTCTTCATCTTCACTGGAGGACCTGTCACTACATGGGAACAGGTGAGAAGGAAGCAAGAAGAGAATTTATTATTTAACTGTAGTTGACCTCTGAGTCTCTGCATCTTCCTTCACGCCTCTCTTTCTTCTCCTTCACTCTCCTCTCCGTCTCTCTTACCTTCTCAGGTAGCGTTTTTCCTCTTCCTCTCTCTGAGCGTGTACACAGTGCTGCCTCTCTCTATGGCATGGGCCCTCATGTTCGGGATAGGGACCAGTCTTTCGCACATCATCATCATCAGCGTCTATGTCCCCGTCACAAGCCCAGATACACCCCACCTTGCTGTGCAGGTAAGGCTTTGTTTGTGTTTGAAAAGATTTAAATAAATAGTTACAATGTTCCCTTCTTGCCTTCATGTCTGTAAGCTAAACATGAAGCTAGAGCCATGAGTGGTGTAGCTTAGCTTGGCTGGAAAAGACTGGAAAGGGGGTGAAACAGCCCACCTTGCTCTGCACAAAAGTACAGAAAATCCACCTACGAGCACCTCTGAAGCTCTCTAAATGACATTATGCTTATATAACAGACAGACTGTGCAATAAACCTGTGACTCCACTGTACCTGTAAATCCTTATTCTCCTTGTTTATATACACAGATTATTTTTTAACATCTGTACAATCAACAAATCCAATACAAATATACGTACATATATGTGTGTGTGTGTAAATATGTATGTGTACCTAGTAGCTTAATTATATGTTTACCTTGTCGAGCTTGAAGTACTTTTTTGTTAGCGGTATGATTCTGTTCTGGTTCTATGTAAGAAAGTTTTCCCAATTACCTTTCACTTTTAACTACTTGCTGTTTATTATTAAAAAATGTAAATGTAAAAATATGCAAATGATCACTGTTTACTGGTGTCATACATGGTAAATAACAGTGTGGTTTTCAGTTAGTAACACACTAAACATTATTTCTGTACATAAATTCAAAGTAATAATGTCCTTGAATATTAATAAATATCAGTTTTGCATCTCTCTGTCACTGACTGACTGACATATTACCAGTAATAGTGGTTCAGCTGCGTTGCTTTTATTGTGTTAGCAATGCATGATAAATTAATTAATTAAGTATCAATAATCCCCTTTCCTCTGACTTCCTTCTCAGCTGGTGGCGAATGCACTGCTGTTTGTGTGTGTGAACTGCATTGGGATTTTCCATCTGTGGATGACGGCGCAGGATCTCAGGATATCCTCTCAGAAGAGAGAACAGTTCAGCGCCATACGCTCCCAGAAGGAAATAAAAAAATATCAGCAGGTTAAAAAACTGGCTTTGACTCATTCGACAGTATAGCTTTAATTTAAATTCAGAATAATTTCTTTGGCTCTTCAGCTAAAGGAAAGATGACAGCTCAGTTTAGCAAAATTAATTTGTCTAGGCCTATATTTGCTCTGCTTGTCTTAGTTTACTACTGTCGAGGTCACTTCTCATGTAAAAACTCTTCACTGCAGCTTGTTTCAGTTACTCTCAATTTAAAATTGTTATGTGTAATTGCTTTCATTAAAAGCTCTCTTCACCGGGGTTTGGTTACTGTATGCTTTTCTGGCTATTAGGCCAATAGATTAATCATTCACTTATCTGAAGCCCAGCAGCAATAGAATAGGCAAAGCAGAATGAACACTATTCACAGGAAGCAAACAAATAGATGAAATGAGATCCAAGTAAACATCGCTTCAAAGAGGCCTTTGATGGCCGCCTGTTTCTTTTATAGCCTTTGTGAACAGATTGTTACCTCTCTAAGACAGAAATCCAGGGATCCAATGTACAAGGTTTTAATAACTCATCACCCACCTTCTCCAAGCACATTTTTAACCCCGTCCTCCCTGTGTCCTTTGCAACAGGAGCAGCTCCTCCTGTCGGTGTTGCCCCGGTACATCGCCATGGAGCTGAAAACAGAGGTGATAAAGAGGCTTACCAAGCCCAAGAGCGATGAGAAGAAAGAGTCCAGCTTTCTTCAGCCTCAACGTAGGCCTGACTTTCACAGCCTCTACGTACGGCAGCACAAAGACGTCAGGTAGAGATCATACTGTTACAGTGTTGGGGTGACGTTGAGTATGTTTGCTTTTTAGAACATTACAGCTGAGCCATAAGTTGTTTCTCTCCTTCCTCCTTCCCATGAACTTATTTTGCTTATTGTTGACTATTACGTCTTAGACCCATGTGCTCCTTACAGCACAGCAGGTTGCTTTTAATGACAGTGAATTGGAGATTAAAGTTGCATTCAAAAGCGTAAATGTTTAAGGCCAGAAGAAAGAAAAATAGACTTAATTTTGACCAGTTTTAATATTAGTTACTAGTGATAATTGTATTATACAAATACACTAATAGTTGACATAAAGGTGTGTACTTAAGTGTGTAAATACAGACGTTAAGTCAGGATTTTTACAGACTTGTCACTTTTGACCCACATCAGGGGTTTTAAAAGCTGACGCTGTAGTCTTCCCCTCAGACAAAAATGAGAAAACAGCACACATAATGCTTTGACAGATGTAAACAGGAAGTGAGATGTTGCCATGGAGTCAGTGAGATAACGCTGTAGGCAACTACTAGAGCCTTATTTAGCCAATATTTGTTTAAATTTTTGCAAATTGGCCCCAAATTAGCAGTTGCTGTTTGCAGTGTACCCATGGGCGTACAGATAACTATCACTGGATTACTTTGTAAACTTAAAAATGTGCTGGCATTTTAAGTAGCATCCTCTTTGATTTCAAAACAGATTTATGGACATTTATTCACAGTGGACGTGCCGATAATGATGTTGTCAGAAATCGCGCTATATCTAAAAATATGTGTATCATGTCTGTGTGCTCAGAATTGATGGCCTGATTTGCCCTCGGTTGACGTAGACCCAGATGCAGACACAGATCACAACAGTCTTAGTAAAAGCGTTTATTGACAAACGATGTGTAGGTGAGGTGGTTGTCAGGGCAGACGAAGGTAGGAGGCAGGCAGGTTAGAAGAGGGTTAACGGTTGTGGCTTGAAGTGAGTTATGAAGAAAGGTGAAGGGCACAGGAATCCTGGAGCACAGGAAAAACACACAAAAAATCTATTAGACAACAATCACAAAAAAGTTGGCCGAGAGTACAATACCACTGGAGTAGCAGGAGAACGGGTGAATTTAGCAATGGATCTCTAAACTAAAATTGAGCTGCTGATAAATTAGAGAAATTTGTATATTTTGCCTTTTATTTATTGTATTTATTCTATAGTGCTGAGTCACTAAAAGCTATTTTTGTGGCTTTGTGTAGCATCCTGTATGCAGACATTGTAGGCTTCACAAAGCTGGCGAGTAACTGTACGCCAGAAGAGCTGGTCGCCGTGCTCAACAAGCTCTTTGGCCGATTCGATGACATCGCCAAGGTGAAAATACCAGCACATCCAGCCCAAAATAAAAGTTTTACTTCTTCACAAAAAGCAGTTTTGTGTTATTTATGAAGTAGTCCAATATTCGTCTGACTTTGACTGTCCCCGCCTCTCTGTAGAAAAATGACTGTCTTCGCATTAAGATCTTAGGGGACTGCTACTACTGTGTATCTGGTCTACCTGATCCTATTCCCACCCACGCCAAGAACTGTGTTAAGATGGGGCTGGACATGTGCACGGCCATCAGGTCAGTTTATCTGAAGTGATCTAAAGTTCTATTACCCAACATTATTTGATGTGTCTATCTTCTTCTATAATTAAAAATGTTATTATAAAACAACAACATCTGGTTTGTTGTAATTTGTGCTTTAAATTATGTTGACGAGCCTCCCACTTGACTTCTGTTTTTCCAGCCAAAGGGAATAAAAGCTAGTGAGTGATCTTAATTTGCATCTGACATTAATGTTACTCTGTACAACTTCCTCATGGCTTTCAGGGCACTACTCACAACACTATATATTACAGTCAAAGCGCTGTTAGAGAAGGTGGAAGCACTATGATATGTAAATAGTCAATAATATTCTGCACATTTTCAGTGAGGTCTTGTTGTATTTGCACCATGTAGATTATTTGGTTCTCTTTCCTTGCCTTTAACGGGGATTTTAGTGCTCAGTTTTATGGAATTTAATTTATAGTGAGATGAAAGAGAAGTTTTGGGTATAAATCCTTTATCCCTATGTCTTTCTTATGGAAAGATCTGCGCCTTCTGTCTTGTTTTACAGTGTGATAGTTGAGAAATGAAAAATCCAAAATGAGCGCTATGCGTACAACTCAGACAGAATATTGAACAAAAGTTTATTTTCGTGTCACTTGATAGCCCAACAATAAGTTCCAGAAGTAAGGGGGTTTTTGCAAGACACCGTAGTTCAGATTTTTGTTAAAAAAAATGTTTGTTTCTTTGCAGCAAACTGCAAGAGGCGACGGGGGTTGAGGTTAGCATGCGGGTGGGTGTCCACACTGGCAACGTGCTCTGTGGTGTGATTGGCTTGCAGAAGTGGCAGTACGACGTGTGGTCAGATGACGTTACGTTAGCCAACCACATGGAGTCTGGAGGTGTTCCTGGGTGAGAAAATGATAGAGATGGTGTAATAAATACAAACTGATGATGCAACAAGGTAGATACCAATTTTTTATTATTAATTCTCTTATGATTAATAGGCGAGTCCACATCACAGAGGAGACACTGCAGCACCTGAATGGAGCGTATCAAGTGGAGGATGCGGACGGGGGGAGTCGGGATTCTCTTCTTACAGGAAGAAAAACCTACCTGGTGATTGACCCCCAGCCGCACAGCATTTCCAGGAGACCTAAAATGGTAGGTGTACACATGTTTGTGTGCAACGTGTGCATGTGAAGTCCATGTATTTTAGACTATTGTCAAGTTTCAGAAAACATTTTTTGTGTCTCACGTATGCACATCTACACCTAAAGGGCACTTTCTTGATGTGATCATTGTTATATGTATGTAATTGTTATAGTTCAATTAACAGCATGTTATCTGTATAGGATTGTTTACGTTTTTTGTTGAACCTGTACTTCTTAAAATTTATCTGAAAATGTAACTTATAATTGATAACAGAATTGACAAACTAAGGATTCTGGCTGGGTAATCTTAAGTATGAACTTCCTGACATAGACTGTATGGGCATCTTTGGTGCTGTCAACCCCTGCAGACGTGCTCTAGAGCAGGGCACTGATTTCTGCATTGTTGTGATGGCACTATGCTATGGCAAGAAAAGTCAAATAAACTAATCTCCATCTTAATTTCAGGGAAACACTCTTGCAGCAGGAGAGAACAGGCAGCGGGCATCGGTCCGGATGTCTCAGTACCTTCGGTCCTGGCAGACTATCCACCCCTTTGCAGACCTAAGCAACCCTGAAGCCAAGCCATCCAAGAAGCATGTCATCCCCACCAATAATGTCACAAACCAATCACAGCTGTCTGCAGTACGTATTGGTGCTAGGGCTGGGCGATACGGCCAAATATGTTATCAAGATAAAAAATGTCATATTATTCAATATCGATAATTATCACGATATATGTCAAGAAACCAGATGTTTAATTGTGGTTTTAAACTTTCCTTTATGGTCAGAAAAAATACTTGATAGCAAACAGTGGATCACTTAACAAATCTGAGGTAGAACATTCAGTATAAAATCAAATATGCATTAGTAAAATTAATTAAAATCTTTCAGTCCCTTTTTCCTCAACAAAATAAATATATATCTTAACCAAAAATTTTTAAAAATGGAATATTTGTTATATTGTTATTGAGGAAAATTATATTGTGATAATTATCATTATTTTTTTATTGCTTTTTTATTGGTGCTTCTTCCCTCCTTGTTGCTTAGTTTCTCTTACACATTGAGCTGTGCATAACAGTAAAACTATATGTAATATACACAAATCCAGTAGGTATACATAAATCACTTAAATCATATCGTTTTGTTGTTGTAAGCGCACACAAGTTCTCCAGAAACCCACAATCTTAGTTAGTAGTGGCTAGTCTTTCTGCAGATTTTAACACACTGCCTCTGATCTTTCGTCCGCCTCTCACCAGCGTCTGATCATAATGTCTGTACTGTAGTTTGATTATAAAGTACTGAGAGGTGACGCAAGGTCACACATTCTGTTGACTGTGTGTGTGTGTTTGCTTCAGGAAAGGCCACCTTTCCAGAACAACCCCGTCTGGTAAGTTCCCAGACATTAAAAGCACCTGAGAAAAAATATGCAAAATAAACCAGCATTGTTAACTGAAGTGGAATAAGAATTAAGCACATGTTGAAGCACTAATGAGGTCATTCAAGGTGAATATGCTTCCAACAAAAAGTGTATAATGTGTTCTTGTTTTGTCCCAGTTTGGTTGTGGATAATCGTGTTAGAGGATCGCTGGACACGATTGACACTGCAGTGTAAGTAAAAAATAATTGGTAGAAAGTCACAAGAAATATGTCGGGAGGAAAAACGCAACATGTTAGGCTATACTTGCAAAAATAGATAACTCCTTTGATTTCTCCTTTATTTTATACGATCATTTTCTCAGTCTCTTATTTTGGGATTATTTATTTTGTTCCTCCTTTTTATTCATCCATCAAGGAAGAAAACAAAGAAGCTCAACTGTGTGACTCTGCTGTTCAACAACCTGAGCCTGGAGAGACAGGTAGCTTCATTCTCTGGTCTAACTCGCGTGCAAAATAAATCGGATAGCAGCAGCACGTATGCGTGAAAGAGCAGAAACAAACACGATGTACAGTATGTTTGTGTGCCTGTGTGTGCTTGCAAATCACGTATTTCTACTGTGTCTAACGTCTGTGTGTTTGTTTTAGTTCCGCACGTCAGAGGTGAAGGATTTACACCACTCAATAAGCTGCGTAGCTTTGATCTTCGTTACTGTTTTTGCTGTCCAGATGCTTGTCTCCAAGAAGTGAGTAGCGCTTGAGTCACATTCACACGTGCAGCCGCACTTCAGTTTGTCACTTGCTTATACTCTTTATTCTCTGAATTAAATCAAAATGTTTTTTACCACCTTTAAATAACTTTGCCTGAGCCTAAAATACTGCAGTAAAATCCTATCTTGTTAATTCCCCGGTTATTTCGAGCCTTAGTCATCAACTCACATACATGTGCGCCTGTATTCACTTACTCTTGAATGAGGGTGAACAGTGTAAAGTATTCGTTTTTACTCCTCCCAGAAATTTTGTGATGGCCGTGTCCTACGGTGCCTCCTTCCCTGTGCTGGTGCTGCTTCTCTCCGTCGCTTTCACTGGATACTTGGAGGTAAGTTAACCCTTGCGGTGTGTTTGTAACAACACTGAGCAGTGTTGGTAAGTTGGTAAGAGTTTCATATCAACAGGTGAGCAACAGTGTTAAAAACAAACAGTATGGTTTAGTGTAGATGAGGTGCAAAAACTCATCCTAAAAAGATGTGAATAATGGATTTGAAGTCATTGCTCAAGAACAACTTGTATGTTGCTGGTGTTTTTCTATGTTGACTGCGTATACTTTATTGCTGATTATTTTCTTTAGTGTACAACATATTTGTAGATTGTTTCTTATTTTCCTGGCATTCACTGGTTATCATTTATTTTTAATACCATAATTGATCAGTTGCTTTGTGGCACTTTGTTTTGGAACAGGTAATGTGATTACAGTGAGCCTCAGCATTTTTGCGTTAAATGTTTGAATGTATGATTGTTTACAGAAGTGGCGTTCCAAGATACCGCCGGGTGTTCAGTGGATCTCAGGACTGTCCCACGGCGTCTCCATCAGGGTGGTGCTGCGACTGTTTGTGATCACCATCTGTGTGCTCATCACCCTGCTTATGGCCATCCTCAACTTTGTGAGTTCCTCTTCTGCCTCCCAGTTTTTGTCATACTTTTCTTTGTTCCTGTCATCCACAGATACATTGGCTGTTCCATCAGTCCATTTCCCCCTGTTGTCCATTTTGATTTTGTCTTTCTTTCACCGTGTTGCTGTTCTTTCAGTGCTTCCTCCCAGGAGACGACTGTATGTCGGCTACCAACAGTACGACGCTGGAGGATCTTAACCTCTTCACTGTGCCTGTAAGTACCCCCAAATAAGTATTTCACCATGCTATTTATGTGTCTTTATTGTGTCTTTTAATTCCTGTGGGAAAGTATAGTGATTCTGTGGTATGTTTAGGCTTTTCTGCTGATCAGTCAGCAGGTAACATATTGTTTTGAATGTTTGTAGGTGGCCTTTAGTAGAATTTGTCAGCTTTTCCATGGCCAGGCAACTAAAGTGTCTTTTCTGCCACTGATCAACAGTTGGTGCTTCAGGTTTTTTACTATTAAACGACTAATACAATATTTTGCCTTCATTCTTTCTTCATATATAAAGGAGTAATCCTTTTCCCTTCCTTCATTAACGTAGTTTCTAACCACATTATTGATTCTTTATTTGCTCTTGTTGAGAGCTTCAGGGTAACATCACACCTACCTTACATAACATAACCCACATTTTTTTCTCCTCATACCAACCTCTTTCTCCAAACATCCAGTACTACCTGTACTGCTGCCTGCTTGCCATGCTTGGAGTGATCGTGTTCGTCAGGACGTGCATGTCTGTGAAGGCCCTGCTGCTCACGCTGGCTGTGGTGGTTTACCTGGCCCTCTTCCTCCATGTTTACGCCCCGAGGTCCTACTGCCTCGTCACACTGCTTTACAACGGCACCAACGGCACCCAGTGAGTGAGGCCGCACATGTGGTGACATTTAAGCGCAGCGTGTTCAAGGTAGCTTTATGTGCCTGAACGTTACGTTGACAGTTAAAATGAAGCAGCAGCGGAGGAGCTCGGATTTTTGAGTATTGACTCACAAGAGAAGTGTTTCAATAGAGAAATACGAGTGAAATCCAACCCTTTTAAACAGCAATGAGCAGCTTTCTAGTGGTAAAATGATTAGTCAGTTTTTTTAACCATTTAAATCGTTTACCAGGGAAAAACTGCCACATTTGAGTATTTGGATCTAATGCTCGACCGATACCAGTTTTTTCGACGGCTGATGCCGATATTTAGAGAGCAGGGCGCCCGATTACTTATATATAATGTCAATATCAAAGAAAAGTCATGTATAAATTCATTATATCATGCACAGTACAATCTAATATACATGTTATTGTAGCCAATAATGTGTTATTTTAGATAGATTTCATAACATGACTGGTGTCATTCAGCTGTATTATTCCCTAAAGTATAACTACTTAACGCTAGCCAGTAATGGTTTTAGATTAGATTAGCTGTCATTTAGAAGAAACGTGATAACATTTAGAAAAGACGATGGTGACTGACGGAGCGCTGACATCGTTCAACAGCAGCCACACTGACGAGGCTGCCTGCAGATGTGTCCGCAGACATTTTATATCAACCTTGTTAGTGCAGGTATCGGATTATACAGATTATTTCAAAATGCCGATGAATAAATCGGTCTGTCACTATTTCGATCATTATAAATTGATCATCTTTGGGTTTTTTAACAAGCAATTCTAAGGCTTGTCTTGGCACTTGGAAATCGTGACAATTAATTGCAAGTTGGATAAATACTCAGATTAATCAATAGTAAAGATTATTGATAGTTACTGCTGAACATGTTTCTAGTCTACAGAACGATAGATTTAACAGCATTAGATGCTAACCTGCTGTTTATTGTACTGCAGTGTTGTGTGAAAACGTGTCAGTAGTTCCATTTAGGTGAGGTGGATTATATAAAATTTATTTAGCACTTTACAAAGAGCAAGAAAACATCAACACACAAAAACAAAACAATAAGGTAAGAAATGCAGAATTTAAAGTAAGTAGGATTTAACATCTTTGAGTACGATTGTTCAGTTATCAAGTAGAGTATGTAATATTCTGTCTGTGTTACATCATGTTAATAGACAAACTGTGAAATAAGATGCATGAAAATGCACAGACATGAATATATGTATGTGTTCAGCCTTGCTGGCTGTCCACACAGACTCTGTAATCCTGCTGAAGTTCACTTCTCACTCATCCACATTCATTCACCCCTATCTATAGTCATCACACTCTCTGTCTTGCTCAGCCAAGGTGTTAGATTTCCTGCCTTTTGTCTGCCAATCAGAGTCCAGATTGTGACTGCTGTCTGGAGTTTCACATCAGCATAATTTATACAGAACCCCACTGACAGGGAGATACAGGACACTCCAGTCTGAGGAATTATGCAATGCAACAAAAATAGACTGACCGTAGATCAGCAGTCCCGAATATGTGACTCTTAATATCTGAATGTGTTTATCTACAGGCCTGGAGTGCTGAAGGACCCTCAAATCATGTCCGGGGTTTGGCTGGTCATCTTCTACATTGTATGCCTCATACTGGCCAGACAGGTATGTGTATACACATTTTAACATGTCTTTTCTGCATTTTAAAGAAAGAAAGGGGAGTGTGCGAGTGTGTAGGTTGGTTTATTGTCACAATATAACAAGTTATAGAGTGAAATTGAGGTTTGTAACTCCCTACTGCTACATAGCAGAGAATATACATTAATACAGAAGCAATTGTAAAAATAGTAAACAGAAATAAACTATAATCAATGGAGCAGTGCTGAGGATGAATTAGAGTTTAAGAGTCTGATAGCTTGGGGGGGGCTGCTCTGCAATCTGGTGGTGTGGCAGCAGAAAAATGTTTGTGTGTCTTGTGTGAATATGTGTGTGTGTGTGCATGTGCAAATACTAGTTTTGGCTCGATGTCTATGAAGATTCTCAGTCATCCAGTTCATAGTTATCCAACAAAGGTTAAAATCAAGGGCAACTGGACTTGGTTGAAGATACTGGAAGACGTTTCGTCCCTCATACAAAGGACTTCTTCAGTTCTGCCAGAACTGGATAGTTTTGGCTCATTTTGAAACACATCAGCTTACATGCAGATTTGTTCATACATACACATTTATAATTTTATATAATTTTACTCTCTGTCTTCCTCTCAGGACGAGCTGGGTTGCCGTGTAGACTTTCTGCTGGAGCATTATTTCCAGACGGAGAGAGAGGAGATGGAGACCATGGAGAACATTAACAGGCTCCTCCTTCAGAACGTGCTGCCTCTCAATGTCGCCTCCTTCTTCGTGGGCAAAACTATTCAAAACCAGGTGAAGAAAACGAAACACGGCAGAAATGTACATAGATATTCATCACCTATCCACAAGCTTTTTTTCCCTTTTAATTGTACTCCGTTGTTAGCCTGCCACTCTGTTAGCTATGCCAATGTCCTCCAGATGTGAGGCAACATGTTGCTTGTTTGGTACACACCCCAGCAAAAAATCACATCATCATTTTAAAAAATTTCCCAGTGAAAATGAAATGCAAACATTACCTTTCCCTGTCAAAGCAAAATACAATATGATTTTTTTTTTCATTCAGCCCTACAGGTTTGATTATGACTTATTGCATTGGCTACATAATGCATGTTATCTTGAAATTAAGTCTTTTAAAAACTGTGTTTCAGGACCTGTATAGTCAGTCATATGACTGCGTGTGTGTGATGTTCGCCTCGGTGCCTCAGTTCAAAGAGTTTTACAGTGAGAGCAGCGCCAACAGGGACGGTCTGGAGTGTTTGCGCTTCCTCAACGAGATCATATCAGACTTTGATGAGGTATGAGGAAGAAGATACTATTATGCTCTGACAGTGTCAGCATCACCAGGCTGGAACATTTTGTCACTCTGTTTTTCTTTCTCCTCCTGCTCCGCCTCGTGTCTCTTGTCATGCAGCTCCTCTCTAAGCCCAAATTCTGTTCAGTGGAGAAGATAAAGACTATTGGCAGCACGTACATGGCTGCTGCAGGCCTGACAAACACGCCTGTAGAGGACGAAACAAAGGTTTGCTTAGTTTCCATTTGAACTCTCCTTGCTCTTTAGTGTCTCAGACCAAAGTGCTCTCGTCTGTTTTTTAAAGGAATCTACCAAAAGTTTTACAAGAAAACTCTTGTATAGACACCCTTCACTAATGTGATCTCTGGCTCCCCCTACAGAAAGTGGAGATGTCCTACAGTCACGTGCGCTCCATGGTGGAGTTTGCCATCGCTCTGATGGCCAAACTGGAGCTCATTAACACACACTCTTTTAACAGCTTCAAACTCAGGATCGGTGAGTCTATTCTAGATGAATATTGCTTGAATGGTAACTAAAACAAAAGCCACGTGCCCAAGTCTTGTTTCTTTGTCCCCAAATTTCAATCTGCCATTTTTAAGGTGAAAACGACTTTGAATGAGTAGTGTTCAATAAAACTGACTGCAATATAATTTGTACATGCTGCAGATTCCTGCGCACAATTTCAGTGTTTAAATTGTACAAACAAAGGTTGAAACTATATTAAAATTTTATATGGAAAATAGAACCTTAAATGTTTTCTATCTTGTAGTTTTGTGCATGCATTTAACTGTAATTAAACCTAATTTTTTTAGATTTTAAGACATAAATGTAACATGTTTATGAACATTTAAAAATCCCTCCCTGTTGTTTACTTCCAGGAATAAACCACGGTCCCGTGATCGCAGGAGTGATTGGAGCTCATAAGCCTCAGTATGACATCTGGGGCAACACTGTTAATGTGGCCAGCAGGATGGACAGCACAGGATTGTTGGACAAGATTCAGGTAAGAGAAAAGAGTCAACAAAAGGGTAGAGGTGGTGAAACATATCTTGCATCCTGTCTCAATAAGAAATGCAAATTGAGGAACCAAAAGGTTTTTTAATTTGAACTTTTAAAACAACAGCTTTCACTCTAACCGATCTAACTGGCTGACATTTCTGTCACATTTTATATTTTACTATCTTTGCCGAAATATGTGAAGCAGACATTACAACACAATAATAAATATAGAGAAATCTAAAATTTCCTATTTTTAATATAAGGAACATAAAATATGTGTATAAGATGCAACATATTACTTATAGGACAGGTTCACAATGTTTCAAGTCTGTCTTAAAACATTCAAGAGCCCATATGAGTGCTGAAACAGGTTTTGCTTGTGTAATCATTCTTCCTGCTCAGTGCTCTGTACAAAAATGTATTCCAAAGTTTATCTGAGGTTAATTTGAGGCTCCAGCAGTGGGACTTAGACAAATCAAGTGGGTATCTTCCAGTCTCGTTAGAACAAGATAAGTCTTGTTAGGACAAAATTCTTTCTTCTTCTTCCCCTGACCAGCTGCAGTAAAGAATCAGTAACAAAAAAACAGCACATCGGGATCAGATCTTTAAATGGCCAGCATGAGCAGGAGGAATAATTTGCAAAACCTGTTTCAATGTTCATATGGGCGTCTGTTGTTGCAAGTCAGACTTGAAAAATGGTGAACTTTAACTTTAACAACTTAATAGGCAAGGTCCAGAATCTCCCTTTGGACCTGATCTGAAACAGATTAACGGAAAGCCTAAAAGAGACCTGAAGGAAAAAAACATTTATAATTAAACCTAATCCAGGCTGTGTTTGCCCCAAACAGACACAAATAACACTTAACAGTTCATACTATGATATTAACAATGACATTTTTCCTTTTGGGTTCATTTTATAAGCGGACATATTGACAAACATTCACCCCACCCGAAGGGGGAGACATCTTTTGTTTATCCACTGTCATCTTCTCTAAAAGGGTTTATTTGTTTTGTTCACATCACATTTCTCTTGATTCTTGTTTCCATCTGTCGGCCACTGTGGGTGGATGGATTAAACATTAAATGCTGCGTGTGCCTTTAATGTGCAATTCTTTTCTTTCGGCTCCCAGGTGACGGAGGAGACATCTCAGATGGTCGAGAGTGTGGGGTACACCGTCACTCTCAGAGGAGTCATCGACGTGAAGGGCAAAGGGAAACTCACCACCTACTTCGTTAACACGGACCAACTGTCTCCTCAGTTCTGACTTCCGCAGTCAAATGATGGGTCCAACTCGTTAGCTGCAAATTCTTGTTAGCGTTTGTTTGAACGAACCTGACATACCAGATCTTTTGAACTGTTGCAACTAACCTGACATGAGTCATTCTGGTTGCCCATAGGGATACACACAGGACTGTAAAGTAGTACAATATGTATACTCAAGCCTGTCAATATCACGAACGTCTGCACTGACTCAATGCTGAAACAGAGGTGTAGAACCTGTGAAATCATCAACATCCTTCGAAGGACCTTTGTCTTTGGGATGAGACACTAAATAAAATCCTGACTGGTTAAATGAAGACTACAACTACTCACGGACCATTTAATGGCAAACCACGTTGCTCTCTGTATCTGGGTTGTCCTGTGAAACTATATGAGGCGGGTCAAGTCCCCATCACAAAAACTTTGTATTGCACTGTAACAACACTGTATTGTTCTGAAAACATAATGAATGAATTGTGCTTTTATTTTATTTGTACACTTAACAACTTTAATTTGACGGACACCAGCCATGCGTCTAGTCCTGCCTCTGATTGCCTAACCCTAACTAACAGAGACAAAGGGTACTAACCAAGCAGAAGCAGAGTTCTCGTAACTCTGGCAGGAAAAGAAATAATGTGCGCTGTCCACTCATAAAACAGTGTTCATGTATGATTAATACTGTAGGTATCCATCTCAGATGTACCAAAGATTACTGTTGTTTTATGAAGGATACTGTAGCTTATGTCTCAAATAAGCATTTTTCCAGCTCTAAATGTTTTGTATCAAGAGTATGTTTGTACAGAACATGCTGTGTCTTGAAATGTAGGGGAAATGTTGTGTACTTTAAATAGTTCTGTGACAATGATTGGTCTTTTCCACTGGTTCCCAACCTCCAGTGGGTGACAAGTGAAATCTGAGAGGTCACGAGATGATTAACAGAATAGGAAAGAGGAAAAAAACAGAAAATATATATACTGTATAAAATTTTTCTCTAAGCTATGCTTTAATTGTGAAATCCCAGTTAGTTATACATATTAAACCCACTGAAAACAACCTAGGAAGGGAAACTAGTTCAAGGTTCTCACACCCAATGAACTTGTTGACATTGACTTATTTAAGGGGTCACAATCCCAAAACGTATGGCTTAGCAATAGAGCCGGAGAGATTTACTGCAGCCATGTACATTTAAAATAATGTTTTCCCTACCCATTACTGCCCCAAAACTGTCACTTAATGCTGTAACACGTCTGCACCCAGGCATAATGATGTGTTGTGCCCTACAGTCTATGGTTGTGCCATGAAAAGTCAAATAACCTAACGCACACATTTGACATTGCACTTTCTAATGTGTTGGATTTTTTAAAGGGAGTTCTGCATTACACAATCTCTGTTTCTTTTAAGTATATATTTCTGTGAGGGATGAAGTGAAGTGTGAATGGAAAACAAGACCTTGAGTATGTTTAGAACAGGGAAATATTTTTCTACTCTATTTATAAAGTAATTAAAAGAAAATACAACCAGTTATGTGTTGGTGTACTAGCTTCCTACGTGTGTGCCTTTAAAGACCTGTGGAATTTCCCTCATTCACGGGAACGCCCACAGGCTGATCTGATTGGTTAAAAGCACTCCCCTTTTAAAGTTTTATCACTCGCTATTGGCTCACGCCGCTGTTAGTCACTCTGCTTCCTGCTTCGCTGTGCAGTTTGTTATTGAAGACGCGTAGCTCATTCAAATGTGACGGGAAATGTTGACGGTCAGAGTTTATGAAGTTGGTGAGTGTTTGATGAACGCCTACAACTCAAAGTTAACAGCGTAGATTGTTAGTCGAGAGTCTGGCGGGAATGTAGCTTGTGCTGTTTGAACAGTTCCCACAAATTTTATTCAGTTTAAATGTAAACGTTTCTTAATAGTCGTTCACTTACCTGCCGTTACTGTGAGTTGAGGTGAACGGACACACGTCGGGCCTCTTTGCCTTTCGTTTGTTAATAGTTTTTTAATTTTATAGGGAAATGAAAGTGTTAAGTTCTCTGTGAGCCCAGCTACATAAATATAAAAAACACGCGCAAAAGATGTCAGGGCCGCATGAGCAAAACAGGAAGCGCCGCCCCCCAAAAATGTTCTTGATCTCGACCGACCTGAAGGTCCAGGACCAGCTGGACGGTACCATTCGGCTGGAGCGGGGGTTCATCTGCCAGGAGCAAGACTCGGGCAAGAACAGAGGCGAATCCCTTTGGGTCAAGGTATAAACACACATTAAATTGAATTAGATTTAGAGTTAACACATTCAGGGTACGGGGACATTTTGATACCTGGCTAGAGAGACCTGTAGGTCTACTTTCTATATCACAATGTTACAAGGAGACAGTATAAGTGTTGACAATGATAGTAAATCGATTATCTTTGGGTTATTTTAAATACAATTATTTATTTAAATGCTTGGGCTATGGGAAATTATAATGGCCATTTTTACAATGTTTTGGCAGACAAAGAAATTAATTTATCAAGAAAATAACTAGCAGGTTAATTGAAACTGAAAACAATTATTACTGTTTTCTTTTTTAAATTTAAATTCAGAATTTTGTCCAAATGTTTGACCTTATTTAAATATATATACATATATACACACACACACACACACACACACACATACATATACATATACATATATACATACATATACATATATATATATATATATATATAATATATATATATATATATATATAAAGCAATAATAAAACAAGAAATTCCATGAGCACAGCCACAGCAATCAGGTGCTGGTAGATAGCGGGATGAGGCTATTAAAAGTCAAAAACAAGCTATGGCACACTGATCTGACTTTACTGCATTTATTGTGAGCAACTCTTTCGCCCATTGCTTCTTCAGGCTCACACAGTGAAATTACAAAAACCCTCACAGGTGTGCTAAGTATACCCTGTGTAGGTCACGGGAGCAGTACATTCCATTTTTTCTGTATATACATTTATAAAATCAACATCTTATACAAAATATTAAAATGCAAGCAGCAAGAATGTGATTAGTATCCAAACAGATCAAAAAACATAAAAAATATATATTAAACATGCATAAGTTACAAGAATTACAACATTATAGGAACTCATTAGTATCTTAAGGCAAATAGCCAGTAGTTCCTACCTCTGTCATATACCCCTAAGATAGTTTGATGGCAAAAGAGATAAAATAATTTCTCACCTCAGACCTGGCCTTTGGTACTTTTTGTGTAAAATGTTAGGTCGGGCAGTCAAACATCAGTTAACTTACTGGCCGCTGTCATTAGTTAAATCACGTTTAATTATGTATTTGTACATGGTTTGGCTATTTTATTCTTGGCTGTATTGCATTGTTCACATGAGAGTTTGTTCCACGTGCTGTTGAGTCAGCCTTTTAAATGGTGGACATATTTAAAACCACTCTTACACCCTCTGAGTGTAAGAGTCTGAAACTATGTGGTTTGTTTACCTTCAAATTTGCCACTAATTTATTTCCTTTTCTCTCCCGCATATTTATCTTTCTCTCTTACCGCAGGTGTTAGACAATGGCATCATGCTAAAACTAGAGAGGAAGTACCTGCACGAAGTTCCGGCAGACCTCAACGGCCTGTTGGAGCCTGTATGGGAGCCGGAGGCCCGCCTAAAACTTCTAAGTAACACATTAGTTAGTTACTTAGTTGGAGTAATGACAGATTATAGCACCAGTAGTGTTTGCAGCATTTATAGCTGTAGAGTGCTTGTGTACTTGTATTAGTATAAAGAACATGTCTGTTAGTAGAAGAATTGTGATTATTGCAGTGGTAGAAATATTGATCAAATCAGTGACGGCAGTAGCATGACTGCTCGTAATGGAAATAGCGGTAATGATGATCAATAGTAATAGTAGCCAAATAATGACACATTAGTAATTGTTGTAGTAGTAATATTATCAATAGACATAGGAGCAGGGGCAATAATGATACATGAAAATGATCTGGTAAAGCCATATCAAATTTTTGTCTTCTCTAACTGACCACTAAATTCATAACTAACCTATTTTTTTCAAATGTAATTAGTTATCCCTTCCCTCTGTAGTAAGTTTTTTATTTTTTATTTATTGTTTTGTGTTTTTCAGGCAATCCCGGGAAGCTGCAGCAGCTTGCTAGTTTGCCTGTTGATGCTCCGCTGTGGGTCCAAATAAACCAACAGGACGAGCTGGCAGAGGCAGAGCTTAAATACATCGGGCCACTGACCAGAGGCAGCAGCGCCGTGTATTTTGGGGTGCAGCTCAAGGTAAACTTGAATCGAGGATATGAGTGTAAACATTTTAGCATCCTACGTAGTTTTGAGGATTTAACCTAATGTGGATCTGTTTATAGTGCAGCCTAGGGAACGAAACGAAACAGCGATTAAATCGATTAATTTGATTACTGAAATGCTTTGTGTCATCCATACAACTATATAGCTCACTGTTTCGCACAGACATTTATTACGACGTGATTATGATGGCGCTGTTTGCAAAGTGGAGTAAGAGAGAGAAAATATTGAGGGACGGAGAAGAAAGTGTCCAAAGTATGGGATTAGGGTTAGTCGATGAATTGATGAAATAATCTGTAGAAGCTTTGAGTACTAAAATCACCATTAGCTGCAGCCCTAGTGCAGCCAAACGTTTCAGTTTGTCTTAATAAAGAAGACAGAAAATTGAGCCACTTTGTTGTTTTCCACACATCAGCCAGGCACAGTAAATAGAGTTTGTTACCTGGCTGAGGAGTTGGAGGCTTCTGGCTGTTCAATTACGCTGCAGATGTTTTGTAGATGTATTGTTGATGAACAGTTCAAATCAGTACTTACAATAGCATCTACTTTACAATAATCAAGTCAAGTCAGATTTTATTTATATAGCGCCTTTCAAAACCAAGGTTACAAAGTGCTTTACAGAGGGATGGAGATAGCACAATAAAAGCATCACAGAGGTTAGAGGTCAAAAGAAGCATTGAAAGAGCAGACAGCTGCTCAAAAAATAGAAACAATGACAAACAAAATCAATTCCATTTGAACTCATGGACAGACGCACTTAAAAAAAAGATAAGTTTTCAGCTGTGACTTAAAACACTCTACAGGGTTTACAGTGAAATAAAATTAAAAACAGTAACTCTGTAATTACATGCATGGTCCGTCTCCTGTGAATCTCTCATTCAAAGTTAGGCAGTTTAAATCTAGCAGGGAAATGGTGGCCACTAACAATGAATATTATATACACAGGTATTAACAGAATGCATGAGAACTGGAGTTTGAGTTTATCAAAATCATTAACATTAACTTTAATATAACAAAACTGGACTTAATGCCACCACAGCAAATAAAAACATTCATACCAACAAAGAAGGGAAAGAGCACTTAATCACCAACTGTAAATACTTCAATCTGTCATTCTCTCCTCTGCAGGGTTCAGCAGCAGGTAAAGGAGTGGGCAGTGGTTCATTTAAAGGCCAGCGGCTCTTCACTTGCCCCGAAGGCTGCGCCCTCTTCGTCCCAGTCAGCCTCATCAAGCTCCGCCACTGGTCTTCGAGCAATGGCTCCGACGCACACGAGAGAGTCCGCGAGCGAGACCGCAGCAGCAACAGTCAGCCCAGCAGCGGGCACAACAGCAACAACGAACACCCAAATCAACAGCAGCACAGTCGTCGTATTAGTTACCACCAGCATCATCACGGCAGCCCTCCTCAGCCGCAAGCTTTCACCGTCCTCGCTCGCAGAGCAGAGTCGGTGCCCGTCGCAGTTCCACACCAGGTCCAGTTCCGAGGCCCGGCGTCACCTCCACTGTTCCATGTCGGCCAGCGGGTGTGTTTCCCACTGGAAGACAATGTCTATGGGGGGGAGGTCCGCTTCTGTGGTCCCCTGCCTGGCCGATCCTCTTCCGGGATCTACGTCGGAGTCCTGCTGGTCAGTACGACACAGGAGATACGGATTGTATGAAGAGTCTGATCCATTTTTTTTTTCTTTTTTTTTTTTCTTTTCTTTTTTAAATAAATGTCTTTCTCTCTCCCATCATTTCCTGTCATCCTTCTCAGTTGGCTCTAATACAGGCATACAATTCCCAAAATAATTGTAAGAAAAAAATTCCAGGCTCACAAATGAAGCTGGATGTTACTGAAAACACCTAAAGAATTTATGTGACAAAATGTGTAAAAAAAAAATACTTCTTACGTCTTGATGTGTAAATTAATTTTCACTAATTCTCTCTACATTTGATTCTCCAGTTTTGTCTGCAGGTTTGTGTTTGACTGTGTGTTTTACGTTGCAGGACGCTCCTGTTGGTAACTGGGATGGGCTTTGTAAGGGAGAGAAGCTCTGTCACATTCCCACCAGCCTCTATGGACTACTACTGCCGATCACCAAGGTGTCCTCAGGTATGGCAACTGTCACACAACAAGGCCCCAGACACTCGCAGTGTGTGTGAAGCATTAGTCCACACGGATATTCAGAAGCATTAACTGTTTAAGGGTACAGAATATATGGCTGTTTATCAA